GCTTCCATGGTCACTGTTAAGCAGTAGCCAGTCTCTGATATTAATTGATTTTATACTCTATTCCCAGGAAACACATTTAGAAACTAAGTTATGTTAATCTCACTGCCCATCAATTTAGACTGTTGAGTTAAAAGTAAAATAAATATACATATATGTAAGTCTCAGTATCCTAAAAAAGCACAATAAATCATAATTTAAAGAAACCCTATCCCAGTAGTACAAGTGTTGATAAGCAAATCTTAGATTGCTTCCCACATTTAAGTGTCCTCCATCAATACTAAAGTCAGCCGGCGCCGTGGCTCAATAGGCTAATCCTCCACCTTGCGGCGCCGGCACACCGGGTTCTAGTCCCGGTTGGGGCGCCGGATTCTGTCCCGGTTGCCCCTCTTCCAGGCCAGCTCTCTGCTATGGCCAGGGAGTGCAGTGGAGGATGGCCCAGGTGCTTGGGCCCTGCACCCCATGGGAGACCAGGAAAAGCACCTGGCTCCTGGCTCCTGCCAGGATCAGCGCGGTGCGCCGGCTGCAGCGGCGGCCATTGGAGGGTGAACCAGCGGCAAAGGAAGACCTTTCTCTCTCTGTCTCTCTCTCTCACTGTCCACTCTGCCTGTCAAAAAAAAAAAAAAAAAAAAAAAAAAAATACTAAAGTCCATAATAAATCATTTCCACATATGAAAGTTATTGATTGTTTAAATTGAGAAAAGCTTCACCTTTGGATTCTTGACTATAAAACAATGATGTAGAATCACTCTCAGATATAATTTTTTAGCCTTATTCATTCTTTTCCTTGTTACAAATCACAGCTATTCCCTCTATTAACACTTCTCAGAAGATTACAGGAGTGCGGACTCCAAATAAACTGGACATCAATTCTTACATAAGCTTTAGGTAGTGGGTTGTAGGGGCCAGTCTCTTGCCAGTACTGCATTCTTTGCACTTTTGGATTCCCTATTTATCCCAAATGCTGTTGGGTGCCCTTAGAAACTCCTTATTTTTTTTTCCTATTTATATTGCTGCCTTTGATACTGAAATTTTCCAAACTTTATTTTATAAAGTATATCAGATCTAAGTGAAATGGCTCATCCTAAAGAAATTTATTTGATGGTACTTTTTATTCTCCAGGACATGTCAAATACAGAGCATTTGATGAGGGAAACATCCTTGTAATTTAGAGTGCAATAACAAATCACGTCTCACTAAAAACAAAACAAAACAAAAACAATGATTTTGGGTATCTTCTGTAAGACCTTCTGTACCCAGGTTAACAAAAGACCGTGATATAAAATTTATTTGATTCTCTTTTGTATTGTAACATAGATGATTTAGGATTCTAATAAAAAACACTCCATTGTATTGGAAAATAAAAAATCACTTATTAACTATCCATTTTCTATACACAGGTTTTAATATTTAAGGATTACCTTTTTAATTTAATTCATGAACTTTTGTATATTCCATTTTTCATCTGATTTGTAAATTTACCTATTTTTAAAATAAACCATTTATTTTCAGCTTTGAATTTTATTTTGTGCATGTTTTTATGTCTTTATTATCATGTAAGAATAAAAGTTAATAATTACACTTACAAAAGGAATTTAATAAATTACACTAGCTAAGTTTATTTCTGACAGAAATCTGTGAAACATTATAACTTCAAATCAAGAACATTTTCTTTACAGGTGAGTGATAAAACCACTTAAGTAGTTTCAGCAAACTAGGGTGAACTGTGTATGTGTGTGTGTGTGCGTAAAGAGATAGATGGATTACAGATAGATATGGATAGATGACAGATAGATAGATAAAGGATAGATAGATAAAGTATAGATCGATGATACAGAGACAGAGAACAAAGAAGAGAAGAGAATGAGAGTGATTCTCTTAAAACAAAGAAGCCTATTCCTTTTAATTCAACTTTGAAATTGGGTAGCTTACAGTAATCTCTTACCTTTTATTGGTTTAATGCAACAGCAAAGCTGTTTCTTTGGAATGAGTTGAGAAAATTAATACCCTGTATTACTAGTTGACAATTTGCATCTCTTAGTGGTGTGTCTGAAATAATTTTCAATCCTGAACATAATTAAATTACCTCTGAGAACAGAATAGTGGCCAACATTTTGTAGCATCATGTGTGTGTGGCTACTATTGACTTGTTAAAACTCAGGATATTTTCTGTAGTTGCTTGATAATGTCACTAGGTCATTCACTCTAAATTCATGGTATGGTACGAGAGATACATTCATGTGGTCTTATTTCTCTATTTCTACTCAAGTAATACCAGGTAACTTTAGCAATGGTGTAGGGGATTGAATGTTTCAGAAGTATTTTTTGTCCCCATCTATCTTAAACTGAATAGATTTTTTATATCCAAATTACTCACATATATTCACATATTAAGTTGCTGTTCTAAATTTAGGAATTGATATTGAATCAATATACATTAGCCTGTATAGTATTTTAATATTGCCTCTACTAGATATTGAGTGATAATTTACTCAAATTGATTTATTCAAATGTCTACTGTGTGCTAGGCATTTGTATAAAAGTATCTCTAATTTGTCTACCATCTCCTTAAGTTTGCTGCCATCATATGCATTTTATTGAAGGATGAATTCAGGTTCAAAGATATGAAGATTCAAACAACAAAATAACCCAAAGATATTAAGATGAAAACAGAGATTTCAAAGAGAAACCAAGATTTGGATTCAGATACATCTTCCAGCAAGGTACTCCCTTTTCACGAGGTTCCAGCTTTAAGAGGAACACTGAGACACAGGCCCATTCTTTATTCTAACAAAAGAACAAAATTACAGCCCTAGTTTTCTTCTAGGTGAATTCCAGGGAAATTTTGACTTTCAAAGGAGAGTTATAGACCAGAAAATATGACTACAAAATAAGTTTAATACCACAAAAGAAAACTGGTTTTGTTTACTATATAACCATACCTCATTTTTGAGCCAAAACAGAATAAGCAATCTAACAAATGGAACTATCCCCCAAATATACCTTAGCATAAAAAATACTCTTACCCTCAAAAATATGAATTTTGATAACGCAAAATATTCAGAAAAAAATGCCACAAAAGAGGCAAATGCCTTTGAAATATAACTTGAAGACCCCTACATACAGTCCAAACCCGATCTGACAAGTATCTCTTACATTCATTCCTCAATGTCTGGGATTTCACCACTTTTATCTATATTTAGCATTGCTGCTATTCAAATGTAAATCTCTCACTTTGTAGGAGTACCAATAAAAAGAAAGAAAGAAATGAATAAACACAGGCTGTAAACATTTTTAGTGGATCTAAGAAAATGTTTCAATAGTGGTATAGTCAATGGAAAGACCATTTTCTATGACCAAGTTGAAATACAGCACTGCACACACACAAACACAATTTGTGTAAGTTCCCTTTGTTGGGAAGCTAATCATGTTACCTTAGTTACCTTAAGCTTATTTAACATGCCTCATGAGCCAAGAGAAGCAGATTTCCACTCTCATCCTCTTTAATTTGTGATATTTTCCAGAAGATTCTGAGAAGGACTAGAGGGTACAAATAAATTATCAATACACATATGCTCACTCAAACACACATACACACACACACACAGATATGATCTCTGAAGACAAACGAAAATGTAGATTTATCATTAAACAACAAAACAAAAAATTCTCTAGAACATTTTTATACTCTTGTTGAAGCCAGTCAAAACTCCAAAATTGAGCACATATGTTTTCTGACTTCCATTTCAACTCATATCAAATCCACTAATTAGAAAGAGTCAATCTGGTAAGAAACTAAGTTTCCTCATTCACTGAGAAGTTCATACAGAACAAATTAATTACAGTTTTACCTTATTTCCATAGGGTAAAAAGTCTCTCCATAATTGTTTCTGCCTTGACTCTAACAGATAGGTACTCAGCCTCATTCTAAAGCTGACACCTGCTTTCTGAGTTGTCAATGGTTAAGATTTACTACCTAGAATTCTTTCTCTTCAGATAATTGCATTGCCTAAGTTCCTAAACACCATGGTGAGTTAAGCACTCTATTAATTTAAAGAACTTCCTTTGGGGCCAGTCCAAATCCATGTCAGTAGCATTAGAATTGAATGTTTTGCCAGAAGTCTTAACTAATTGACTGATCCTTAGCTGTTGTTATTGTTGTGCCTTTAATCAATTATCAGGCGAATTCTTCACACAGAAAGGATAAGGAGAGAGAATTTTAGTTGACAACAGGGTTAGTACTACATATTGTTTGATGTCATTTCCAAAAATCTTAAATATCAATCAAGACATAAAACTGGGGATCCTGGGAGGAGCTTTGCACTGGTCAGACTGTGATAGAATGTTTATTCCTGTTGAGTATACTACCATTAGGAGAGACACACCTGCACACACACATATATGTATTTATATATATATATATATATATATAAGCTGAATATTATTCAGAAGAAAGTGATCGAAGAGTGGAGGGGACTTGAAGACATGTTATATATGGAACAAGAGAAAATTTATGAAGTTATTCAATTTGACAGTAAGAAAACATACAGTGATACCACAATAATTGTCCAGTATTTCAAACACTTGAAGACATCAAATCTGAGATCACCAAATATAGCTTGCTGGATTGAAGAGTTCAAAACAAGAAATAATTTACATGCAGAGCTCAAATTCGCTGCCTTTTGAAGTAATTAATTTAATTCTCCATCTATATTTGTTTGTTTTTGATGGTAAAGAATAATTAATTCAAGAAAGGGACAGCTGAAGCAAGGAAAGTCTGCAGTAGAGAGTCCCATCTTCATCCATGAGGGTAAAGATCCTTAGCAACCACTAGAAAGAGTGGATATAGATTGTAGATGACATTTCTTGCCTCGGTATATCATGGAGCACTGAGATCCTGTATTCTTAAATATTTATTCATTTCCCATCCTTTGTAGGATGGACGTGATTAACTGGGAAGCTTTTACTAGACACTATGCTATTTTTTTTCTATTTTCCTGTAGATACAGTGGAAGCAGTTTTTGATTTCATTCAGAGGAGCCGAAGGATGATTGTTGTCCTGAGTCCAGACTATGTGACAGAAAAGAGCATCAGCATGCTGGAGTTCAAACTTGGTGTCATGTGCCAGAACTCCATTGCCACAAAGCTCATTGTGGTCGAGTATCGCCCCCTTGAGCAGCCACACCCAAGCATCTTGCAGCTGAAGGAATCTGTTTCTTTTGTGACCTGGAAGGGAGAAAAGTCCAAACATTCTGGCTCCAAATTCTGGAAAGCCTTGCGGTTGGCTCTTCCCCTGAGAAGTCTGAGTGCCAGTTCTGGCTGGAATGAGAGCTGCTCTTCCCAGTCTGACATCAGTCTGGATCATGTTCAAAGAAGGAGAAGTCGTTTGAAAGAGCCCCCAGAACTGCAGAGCTCAGAGAGGGCTGCAGATGCTCCTCCAGCCTCAGACACAGTGTCCAAGCACCGAGGGAAGCCCTCTGCAGCCTGTCGCTGCTGTGTCACCTACTGTGAAGGAGAAAGCCACCAAAAGAGCAAGAGTCGGGCAGAGATTCATACCCAGCCCCAGTGGGAGACACACCTTTGTAAGCCTGTTCCCCAAGAGTCAGAAACTCAATGGATACAAAATGGCACCAGATTGGAACCCCCTGTTCCCCAGATCTCAGCCCTTGCTCTTCACCATTTCACGGATTTATCCAATAACAATGACTTTTATATCCTATAATGACGGTGTGCGGTGGGTGGTGGCTGCTCTATCAACATATGTCATGAACCTATGGGAATAACTGACCTTTTTATCATCTAGCGGACTATCAGATTTGTGTCCCTTTATTGATTTTTAAAAACTATTTATTTCTAGGAGACAAAAGACCTGAAGGACCTGAATCCAGAGTTCTTGCCTCTAATGGCCTCAGAAGAGCACACTCTTCTTGGGCCCTAGAAGGTCAGTATGTGTAAGTTGCCTAAAGTCTGATCCTCTGTCTTGCCCAGTGGTTTAAAAGTGTGCAGAGAATTTAAATATTTCTTTGAGTTTGCTAATCAGTCTCATGTGTGAGCCAGTCTGGTGTACTTTGGCTACAACACTAACAGGGTAAATTTCCCAAGGAAGCATCCTGGAGAGGAACAGGTTCTGGTGGAGGCTGTAGGACAAAGCTCAACAGAAAAATCTACAGCACATTTTCCCCCAAAGAACCAAAAATATCCATCCAGGGATACTTGGTGTACTCTGCCTCACTGTAAACTAATGTTCTCTAAGCTTCCTGATGTTGTTAGCATTAATAAAGTTATATTTTTATGTCACTTCACTAGTACTAACATATTTTTGCCTTTCATCTCCCTTCTACTTTGTGTGACTTTTATATTCATATCTCAAAATATTGCATTTCAGAAAATCAAAATATGGTTTAGCATCCAGGAGATCTGAGATGAGTCTTTAGTTTACTTCTAGTGTGTATTAAGAATGACCTGGAAATGGATCAGAGGGGAGTTAGAGATTTTAAGATAAAGTGAAAATTCATGCAAAGATTTTATTACTATGAAACTGACAGCTCATAGGCTAGAGTTTAGTGCCTGAAAACCTTCTTCCCATTCAGGATTGTGAGAAACTGTAGTAAATACAAGTGCTTACAAGGATCAGAAGGTAAGAAAGAAGAGAAAAGAAGTCATATATAAGTATAATATACATGGTCTGTAATACCAATATGCACAGGAATATAGGCATTGGTAAGTATTTTTTTCTGTAAATAATTTCACAAAAACATAAAAGGCACATGCCATTTGATTTCAAGTCTGGGACAAATATATGGGATCTTCAAAAGTTTAATGGGAAATCCATATTATGAGAAAGTATGCATGGATTTCAAAATTTTCATGCTGCAATATAAACATCTTTTAATTCCATTTTTGTGAACTTTTTGAAGTATTCTCACATTTCTTTAAAAAGAAGGCAGCTTTAATCAGCCCCATTTGGTTGTTGCCACTGATTTAGCACCTGTGTTGCCAGATTGCCCTGTTTCTTCCAGAGCCTCTGAAAATCCAGATTTTTTTTTTATGTATGCTGTCAGTTATGGAATAGCTTAAACTTAGAAAAAAAATAAGAAGAACCAAGTTAAGCACATTTGTGGTACATACTCCTACTAAGGGCCATTAGTCTGTTATTTCAGAACTAAGATATTCAGCCAAAGAACATATGTCCAAATGGAGATTCAAGAGCTCCTGCCTATAGTAGAAACTGGGGAGAACATACACTAGTCTTGAGGACATGATGGGGGAGGTTTATCTCCTCCCTGAATTGAAGACATGTGGGCCTCAGACCAGAACTGATATGACTTAACCCTCCATCAGAGGGGGAAAAGCTAACAGGTAGTGTGTTTCCATCTTCTTGTAAATCCCCTGCGTATTGTGCTTACTGTAAGAAAATTCAAAGCATAAAACTTGTTGCTCCTGAACAGGGGCATAGTGAAAAAAGAGACTGTGTCAAACATAACTTCCTCCTTCACCCCATTAGCACTGACTGCTACAGAGCTCTGTATGGTCTTAGGAGTGGTAGCCTCCCGCGCACTAATCGAGAATGAGTAGTATGGAAAAAAAGCAGTATTATGACACCATCCCTCTTGGAAAAGGAAACAGAGATCCTTCTCCTGTTGAATCAAGAAGATAAAAAACTGAAAATGCGGAGATATGGGCCCATAATGAGCTTGTAATTTGGGAATGACAGACCATCTACTTTAGTAGCCAGGAAAAAATTACAATACAATCAAATACCTTGCTCTATATTATATCTCTTCTTTACAGAAAGGTAAAACATCCTTGATGTATGTTCAAGGATCTTAACTTGGCAGGCAATAGATTCTCTCTACTTTAACAGCAGCTAACGTAAATGGCTCTAAATTCTAGGGAAGGAAAGGCTGCTAGTCATAATTGGTCTTATTTGTTATTGACATGGTGTCCCAAACTGTAAAATAGCCCTAGAAATATTGAGAAATTACTTACAACATTTATTATATATTTTCTTCAGGAACTAGTGGCAAAGACATTGAAATTAAATACAAGCTCTGATTATGGATAATTTTGATTATCCCAAAGCCAAATTTTAGTCAATATTAATTTCATTAGACAAAATAAGTATAGTTTAAGCAGTATAAAGCCATAAATTTTGGTACTAGCTCTACAGGGTTCAAAGGTAATGGGCTGTGCTTTTACTGCATGGAGAAAGGCTTAAAGGTTGTTATTATTTTGTGACCAGATATGCCACAATTGAATGTGATATTTTGAGTCATGTAATTCAACAAGGCAAATGATAAGAAAGAAAACTTTCTCATTGGCCATAAGTGATTATAATTGAAATGATACAACCATAGGTTAAATGGATATATCATTACATAAGAAATTACCTATTTAGATACATACTTTATAGATTTTAAAATTCTGCTTCTCTCTTATCTGTTTGACCATAGTTTGACCAGGGTCTCCCTATGTACACATCTATCTCTTGCTACTCAAAATGGAGATAATTTGTTAATCTCATGGATGCTGTGAGCATTAAATTATATGCTACTAATTTATTTCATACGTATTATTATTTTACTGTTATGAAATATCCTAAAGCAGTATAAACAGGGTTATATTGTCCAGGTTAAGTGACTTTCCTAATGACATTCATCTAATTGGTAATAGAGTTGGACTTCTAATTTATTTTTCCAATACTTGACCAGTGCTTGTTCTAGAATGATCCCTATAAGATTAGGTAGTTATATTTCTATTACAAATCACCTTAATGGGACTATTTCACTGGAAACATGCTATAATTTAAAAAGCAGTTCACATAAAGCCATACACAACAAATTCAGTATTATGTTGTCTGATGTATCATTTGACCTTATCATGTTATATTATGTGTTCATTTTTATAACCTTTTAAAGTATTTAAAATGCATAATCATTTCTATAGCCTATAGACTATAATTTTACCATAATTTTTTCAAGATAAATTAATTATTTGTAATCTTGTTTTTTTTTTTTTAATTTTTTGACAGGCAGAGTGGACAGTGAGAGGAAGAGACAGAGAGAAAGGTCTTCCTTTTGCCATTGGTTCACCCGCCAATGGCTGCCACGCCAGCGCGCTGAGGCCGGCACACCGCGCTGATCCGATGGCAGGAGCCAGGTGCTTATCCTGGTCTCCCACAGGGTGCAGGGCCCAAACACTTGGGCCATCCTCCACTGCACTCCCTGGACACAGCAGAGAGCTGGCCTGGAAGAGGGGCAACCGGGACAGAATCCGGTGCCCCGACCAGGACTAGAACCCGGTGTGCTGGCGCCGCAAGGCGGAGGATTAGCCTATTGAGCCGCGGCGCCAGCCTATTTGTATTCTTTCTAAGAAATACATTCACCATTTATTTTGAAAAATTAATTTTATTTATTTTTCCGGAAGTTATGCTAGACACTGTGAGTACTAGAGTTATCTCTTCTTAGAACTATTACAAATTATAATTATATTATATTAAATTCCTGTTTGAAGATTTGAGGTGCACAGGAAAACTAGTATTCCTGTTCAGAAAAAAATAGAATTCCTGTTCAAATAAAAAATGGAAGCAATTATAAAGGTATGCACAGAACAAACAAGTCATATAACCATGGTTTTAAACTTTCGTGCATCTAAGAATCACTTAGGGGGCATCTTACAATGAAAATCCAAGGATATACCCTTGCCCTTAGGGCTGATTCATTAGGAGCTGGGCATTGTCTAGGAGTTGGCATTTTTAAATTGTGCCTTGAGAATTTAAATAAGATATTCTATGGGTCCGACTTGGAAAACTTTCTCTATGGTAACTCTTCAAAATATTTCTCATATTTTATAGATTATAATTCAAGGTGTAAGGAAAGTCTTTTTAAAAAAAAAAAAAAAGATTTATTTATTTGAAAGGTAGAGTTACAGACAGAAAGAGGGAGAGACAGAGAGAAAGGTGTTCCATCTACTGGTTCACTCCCCAAATGGTCACAGCGGCCAGAGCTGCACCGATCCGAAGCCAGGAGCCAGGAGATTCTTCCAGGTCTCCCATGCGTGTGCAGGGGTCCAACAACTTGGGCCATCTTCTACTGCTTTCCCAGGCCACAGGCCACAGGAAAGAGCTGGATTGGAAGAGGAGCAGCCAATACTCAAACCACCAGCATCCATATGGGATGCTGGCGCCACAGGCAGCGGCTTTACCTCCTATGCCGCAGCACTGGCCCTGGAAAAGTCTTAGAGCCTTTTCCAAGCTTTTAAAGTATATTTCTTGATGCATTCACATTAGAAGCCTTTGGGGTGTATATTAAAATGTGTACTTCACCCAATCCAAGATTAACAGAATGAGAATCTCTAAAATGGGGAAGATTTGCACTTTGAATTAACTTCCCTAGTGATTCTGATGTTCAAAATGTTTAAGAACCATTAATTGTTATCTTTCTTTAACTCCTTATAGGCTCTGATTTTCTCCAGTCAAGGAAGACTACGAATCATCAGTATAACAAAGGGTATACAGGCAATAGATGAAAATGCAGGGCATGTTTAGCCCTTGGAGTTGCCTCAGCACAAGAAGACAGTTGAATAGAGTGGTTAGTAGAGTATAAATGCAAAATATATGAATTATCAAACACTGACATTTGGGACCTTATGGGAAAGCTATAGTCATCTAGCATATTAAACAGAGTTAAGATAAGCTATGTTGCGCTTACAAATAATCCCAGTATTTCAGTAGCTTCATGTAACAAGCCTTATTATTTATACCACATGCCCAGCATTGGGACTTACTCTTTGCAGTTTCCCATCTGAACTGTGTGGCTTTCTTTTATTTTATGCTTCAGTTTAAATATAGCACCCATTTCTTTCGTTTAAAATTTAAAATTTATTGGCTCAAACAGCTCCAAAGTCCTGATACACTTACAGAGAAAGCTAAAAAATACAATCTTTCTGTTTCCATGGGAAGAGCAAAATAAAATGAAACTTGGTGAACACACAGCATTGTCTTTTTTTTACAAATGAGACAAGAATGAGATACTGAGAATGTGAAGAGGCATGATGCCTTCAAACCGCGATACAGGGTACACTTTTGATGAAGGAAGTTTAGAATGACTTTACTCTAACATCCCACCTCAGTGTACCAAGGTATCAGGAAAAAAATCACAAAGAAAATAGTAGAAATTGTTCATAAATGTTGCCCAAAGAAAAGTTGTTGAAGGAATATATGATACTACAGCTTCTGATAAGGAGGAAGCGTGCCTGAAAATTTGAAAGCGGCTGTATTTGATTACTTTCCCTTCAGCAGTTTTAGTTAGTTCTCTGGCTGTGATGCTCAAATTCTTTGTAAATGAGCCGTTTTAATTTGAATATCCAAGGAGCCTCAGAAGAATTGAAGACATTTAAAACACAGCAGAGCATGTAACATGATCATTAGAAAGCATCACTTGATCCATTTATCTGAAGAGCTAAACAGAGAATTCAAATTGAACATACTAAAGCTCAGATGAATTATGAGACCAATGTTAGTGGGATGTTATGAAGTCTGCTCACTGTGCATCTGTTCACACTATGAATTGGATTCGGTTGATATTAAAGATTTAAAATTTTATATGACTTCTCTAATGTGTTCAGTATCAGTTGATCATGAGAGAGAGTTCTTTAGGTTGATAAAAATTAGGGTTCATGAGTCTTGAGCTATGTTAGTAAATTATAATGCTGAACAAGAAAGAGTTTTATTTCTTGTTACAGCCAGATTTCTGATACATTCAAAATCCTTTTTAGAATCATTAACAATGTTTTTCCTTTGGGCAGTTCATACATTTACAAATACTGAAGTGGAAAGAAAAAAATCCTTGAAAATGTGTTCATGGAAAGAAAACAGAAAGATTCTAAATCAACTCTGAAACCAGATCTTGAGCTACTTTTATCTAAACTTGGTGATTGGGATTTTAATACTCCAGTACTTTATTTAGAAAAAAAATTAAGAGACAAACTCTTCTATGCATTTATTTTTATTTCACAAAAAAAGCATACACAAAAGCTTCATTTCATTTCTATCCTCATAAACTGTGTCACATGTTTGCAATTCATTTTTTATTTTGTACAATACTTTGAGATATCTGAGTCAGTAGTTCTTACCTAGAATTGAATACCATATTTTAAAAATTGCACAGGCCTGGACCTACCCCAAACTACTAAATCTTCCAAAACAACTGAACTGCTTTTGTACCTTGAAAATTTTTACAAATTTTTCAGTGAAAATTTTAATGATTTATTGTAAAACTGATTAAAATGTAAAAATAAATCCTTATCTTGAAGATAATATTATTTTCATAAAGTTCAAAGCTTGAATGAATTGCTAAACATTGAGACTTGGATTCTTTATTTTAACATCTTTTATGAAATTATATAAAATAGCAAATAGCAAAATAAGCATAATAAAATGAAAGAAATTCTGTAGCTACTGAACTGGGTAGCTAAAAGATCCCATGATCCTAGTATTTATTACTTTCCTGCCATTAGTCATCCTAAATAAGACAAACCAAATATGATAAAATGCCTTGCTTTTGTACAAAGACTATGAAATGACCTCTAATGAGAATCAGAATAACAAAGGAGAAATTAAAGCTCATTTACCATTTCCAAATATCAGTAATGTAAAAGAGAAAGGAATGTATAAAAACTCCCTGAAATGAGACTGGATAAACATGTGGCATAGATGTTAGGGTTTAGGGAATAAAGTTAGGTGGTTTATTATTATAAGTACTCTTGTTAAAAGTATAAAAATATTAAGTTGGAGTAAAAGATATGAATCAGACTATTCTTTGAATGACTGCGTTACTTTCAATTACATAATTCTGCTAACAAATCTTCAGTTTCTACATATTTCAAATGCAAATAATATAGAAACTCCCTCATTGGATTGTTGTAAAGAAAAAATTATATAATAAATATGAATGTCTAAAATCTATAAAGTATATCTTTGGTAATGGTACTATAATTATTATCAATGTTTTGTTACCCAAGAAACCTAGGAACAGTGAAGAGATTTTTTTTTTTTATTTATTTGAAAGTCAGAGTTACACAGAGAGAGGAGAGGCAGAGAGAGAGAGAGAGAGAGAGGGAGAGGTCCTCCATCCAATGGTTCACTCCCCATTTGGCCGCAACTGCCGGAGCTGCGCTGATCCAAAGCCAGGAGCCAGGAGCCAGGAGCCACTCCCAGATCTCCCATGCAGGTGCAGGGGCCCAAGGACTTGGACCATCCTCTACTGCTTTCCCAAGCCACAGTTGAGAGCTGGATCAGAAGTGGAGCAGCTGGGTCTCAAACCAGCGCCCATATGGGATGCCAGCGCTTCAGGCCAGGGCATCAACCCACCACACCACAGCGCTGTCCCCAGTGAAGACATTTAAATGAAGCCCGTAAACTTACTAAACATCCATATCACATGATCCAGGTATAATCTTTGATACCTCAAATTTAGGGAACATAAATTAAAGTATTAAATTACCATAAAGGTTGAAAATAATCAAGAAAACTCTGAAAAACTAAAAATTAGTTGAAATAACTGTTGTCTGTTGCTATGAACAAGTTATCCTTTAAGAAGCCTATTAATGTACAGTTCCTGTGGTTCAGAAATATGGAAGAGCCTTAGCTGTGAATGACCAGACTGTCAAACTGCAGGCTAGGGTTCTGGTACACCTGAGGTGGAGGATACACTTGCAAGTATAGGCCTATGGAAGCTGGTAGGAAACCTCAGTTCCTTGTCATAAGAACCTCCATATCGGGCTGTTTGAGGATATGCATATTAGCTTCCTTATCCCAGAACAAGAGATCCAAAAGACTGAACCTGGAAATCCACAGAGCCATTAATAACCCAAATTTCTCAGACACACTATCACTTCTGCAACATCCTATTTGTTAGAAATTAGTCCATAAGTTCAGCCCAAATTCAAGAGCTGGAGAATTCAGCCCTACCACTTGAATGGAGGAATTTCAAAGAATCTGTGAATGTATTTTAAAGTCATCATAGTAACATAGCCAATTATTTTTTCAGTTGAATAAACTGAGGTCCAGAAAATAAAAGTGAAGTGTCCTCACCCTTCCTAACTTCATCCCTAACCTGGTAACCTAACTGGCTATAGTGGGACTATCAGGCAAATGAATGCTCTCTTTTTTGTCCAGGATAAGTTTTTGCCTGGTAAGAGATTGTAGAATAAGGAAGAATTCTATACTGTGAAGCTCCAGTATCCTTCTCTCCCTCTCTCCTTATCCCTCTCCCTCTCCCTCTCCCTCTCCCTCTCTGTCTCTCTCTCTCCACTTCCCACCATCACCACCACACTCTGTCTGCTACTCATTCTCTCATTTTCACTGTGGTTCTATTTTAGTTGATGAAAAGAAAAGAAAGGTGCTGGAAGTTGGAGAGGATCACAGTCTTGGTCTGGGGACTTGGTACTGAAATATGAGCTTTATTCCAGTGTTACCTCTAGAGAGACTGAAAGTGATTATTCCAAAACACAGCCACTGAAGGGAAAAATGAGCATTTGATTCACTTCTTTGAAATAATTCATGTTCTCATCTTAGCTCTGAACTGAAATGGTTAAATGTTAATATTGCAATCATTTTTATTCTCCGTGTTTCAGACTTTTGTTCCCCCAAAATAAATGAGGTTAAACTAAAAATTATGTAGGATATGTATGATGTTTGATTTCATGGAATACTTAAAAAATCCCCTCACTTTTCCATATAAACTCTCATACACATGAACACACACACACACACATATTCAGTGTCCCATGATATCAGAAAGAATATTTTTTAGAAGTCTGAGTATTCTTCTCAAATGATTCTGAAACACATATTCTATATATTTAGGTCTACTTGTTGTAACATATATTTCTCATTTGTAAAGCTAAACTTAGGTTCTTATTTTCTGTCACTGGGTCTAGTAGCTCTGAGACTATGTGTTTTGTCTACCTGGAACCTGTTCATATTCCAATGGCTTGAATTTCACTAAACAAATTTTAACATCAAGATCCAAGTTAACTGGCTTGTAATTTAGATAGGAAAAAAGATACATTTTGTTTTCTTTTTTAAAAAATAATTACTTATTAGGGACCTGTGCTGTAGCATAGTAGGTTAAGCCTCTGCCTGCAGTGCTGGCATCCCATGTAGGTGCTAGTTCAAGTCCCAGTTGCTTCACTTCTCATCAAGCTCTCTGCTATAGCCTGGGAAAGCCGTGGAAGATGGCCCAAGTACTTGGGCACCTGCATCCATGTGGGAGAGTTGGAAGAAGTTGCTGGCTTTTGGCTTCAGATCAGCGCAGCTCTAGGCATTACAGTCATTTGGGGAGTCAACAAGTGGATGGAAGACCTTTCTCCCTGTCTCTCCCTTTTCTGTGTGTAACTATGGCTCTCAAATAAATAAATAAAATCTTAAAGAATAGTTATTGACTTATGTATGTAAGAAAGGGAGAGAGAATGAGAAAGAGCACTCCCATTAACTGGTTCACTGTTCAAATGCCCACAATGATGGGGATGGGTCTGGCTGAAGTTGGGAACCTAGAACTCAAACCAGGTCTCTCAAGTGAGTGGCGGAGATCAAACAACTTCAGTCTTTACTATTACCTCCCAGGAGCTGCATCAGCAGCAAACTGAAAACAGGAAGCAGACCCAAAACAGTTTGATGTGGGATGCAGTGGGACACAGGCTTTATCACTGAGAGAAACGCCCATACCACTTTTTGTCTTCCTAACGAATTTGTGCCCTTAACTCTTACCCATAGAAACCTTCCTATTGTTCATGCATGTCTATATATTTCATGTTACCAAACCAAATAAATAGAGACTGGTTTTGAACAGGAGTTAGGAAATATGAGTTCTAATCCAAATTATATTTCTTTTGTTATGAGACCTTGATCAAGGCACAAACAGAGAAATACTCACCCACTAAAACAATTGAAGGATCACCATTTACCTTCTTTCTCTGATATTCTGGGGAATGGTGTAATAATAGTGAAGAGAGCCTTTTTTGTATATTTTATTGAACAATACACAACACCTTCATACTTACTCCAAATCATATATCTAAAAATTTTGGAATTTTCTGTAAGTATACTACATGCTAGTTGAGTGTATGAAATCAAACCCAATCTCACATATCTCTCCTCTATTCCACTCATAATGAGACAAGTTCTTGTCCACAAGTCTTTCAAAATTCCTTTAGCCTCCATCTCCCCAGGAATCCCAGGAATTTATGCTACATATGTAATGCGTGCTCCACTTCCTGACCCACTGTCTACTTTCATAGCTCATATGCCTTTGCTGATGTTCCTTCTGCTTACAATGCCTACTTCTTCCCTCTCCATATAAGAGCACTTACATTACTTGAGGCTCATATCAAATGTTTCCAAAGTTATTAAACTTTCCCTAGGCAGATTTGCAAGTGCCCTCCTCTTCCTTCTTTGTTTCATCATCCCTGCATCAAAAAATACAGTATTTAGTAAACTCATCATTTTAGGCTTTTGCTCATCAGTACATAAGATTTATTTCAGTATTGGAATCCGGGGGCTCCCAACACAACATCCTGCACCTTCAGTTTCCCCCTTGATGTTACTTAAGGACAAATGATCCACAACCAAGTAAAAGTGGAAAGAGCTCCAGCTGGGCTGTGTTTGTCCTTGTTGCCACCCTCACATTAAGGATGTCCGTCAATGCTCCTCTCCTGTTTATCTGCAGTAATAGCTGATGCTGGAATAAGCATCAGGCTCATTGGCAGATGTTCTGACTATGATCTTGCTGTTAAATAGTCTCAAAATGATGAACACTAAACTGTGATAAATACTGCTACCTAGAGTGTGCCTCACAGTATTTCTGGCTAATGAATGCAAGCAGAAAAAAAACATTAAACCTGTTTACTGCCTCAAAATCTAAATGATATTGGAACAATAAAATTAGGTACTATATTGATTAAAAGATTCATGCTTCCAAATACTCTGCACTGTCTTCCATCAGCCAGTAAACTTTTGCTGTCTTATCTTAGACATACTACAGCTTGCTCCATGCTGATCATAACTGCTACAGTTCAAGACTCACCACCTTTCATAAGTGCTTTCTAGTTTCCCTTGATGACTCCAGTCTTAGTCTTTCACAAGCACTCTATACTCATCATCAAATCACTACTACTAGTGAATACAACAACTATTACAATGCTTGACATCACACAGA